CAGCCACTGCCGCGGCCGCGACCGGCACCAAGGGACGCGGCGGTGGCGGCGGCGGGGCCGGGGGCGCTGTGGCGGTGGCGGGCAGCCTGGCGCCGCCGGCGCCGGTGTGTCCCTACGTGTCAGACACCTTGGAGGTGGTGGTGGCCAACCAGTCGCAGCGCTTGCTGGTCCCCCTGAAGGGGAGGGTGTGGGGCGAGGGCGCCTTCCTGGCGGGACCCAGCTACCCGCCGGCTGCCCCAGACGCCCCGGCCACAGCAGCGGTGGCTTTGCCCCCGGCCGCTATACTTCAGAAAGGCGCTCAGCCGCCAGCGTCCCCAGCGTCGCAGCTGCCGCCGAGGCAGCTGCTCCTGCGGCTTCCAGGCCCTGTGGCGCCGGGCCAGGCGTCTGTGGCGGCGATGGAGTTTGGAAGCATCAAGGGCAGCGGAGGCAGCGGGGCGCCTGCGGAGGTCGTGTGGGAGGAGCTGCCGGCAGCCGCCAAGGCGGCGGGGTGGTCGGTCGTAGAGCCGCTCAAACAGTCGGCGCCGCCTGGGGAGCGCAGGGCCGTGACCGTGCGGTTCGCACCGCCGGCCGCCGCAGCACCCGTGCCGGCGGCGCCGGCGGGCGCTGGTGCGCCGGCCGTGGGTGGTGGTGGCGCAGGCGTGGGCGCCCTGCTGGGCCTGCCAGAGGCAGTGGAGTGCATGCTGCGCTGTACACTGCGCGGCGGGCTGCCAGCAGCAGGGTCGGTCGAGTGCGCGGCAGGCAGTGCAGAGGGGGACGTGCGGCGTCTCGAGGTGCGGTGTGTGTGCGTTGTTGCGCCGCCACCACCGGCGACAGGTGCTAGCAGCATGTCGCCACACATCGCCAGCGTCGCCGCTGCAGCGCCTCTGGCGGCCACCCAGACACCGGGAAAGCCACGCGTCTGAAGTGTTGTAACGCCACCCGCGTACACACACCTCCAACTGCCACTAAGATGTGCGATTGTTGGCATTGGCTGGCTCGCGCGTCCAAGCACCTGCACAATCATAAGGATCCTCGCAGGCTGGGCCAGGGTCCCCTCGCCAGCTTCTGACCTGCAAGCACAACCGAAACCGCCTGCCCAACTTCCTGCACAGCCACCATTTGCATCAGGCTACGCGATATCACGCGTTGTAGGCACGTCGCACCAGATTTCAGGGGACCTGTGCAGGCATAGTGAACAGGGGATTTGTCTGGAGATCGGTGTCTGATCTTGGGCCTCGTTTGACCGATTTTGACACTAGTCGCAACAAAATGAGTGGATATAACAACTTGTTCGACCTGCTAGGGGATGCGGACGACCCCGAGACGGTGGCCGCGCGAGCTCAGCAGGCAAAGAAGCTTCCTCAACAGCAACAGGCCGCGAAAAAGCATGCGGGACCCTCGGGATACAGCGCTGCCGGGGCGGGGGCAGCGCCAGCGGGGCAACGGCGCGTTGGCGTCCAGAGTGCCGGCGCACCTAGCGGGAGTGCGCCGCTGCGCACCAGCTCATCCGGTTCGGGAGCGAACAGGTGAGTCGCGCTCCCTGCGCGAGCATGCACCTCAGCACGCATCCGCCGGTTGAACTTGGTGCCTGGCCAACTCGGAGAGCCAGTCAGGATATTGGGGGTTAGCTTGTCGCTGCTGAACTGCTGGCAACTGAACCCTCGCCCGCGTGTGCCGTTCCGGCCTCGTGGCATCCCCCTGCAGCCGCGTGTTCGACTACTACCGCGCGTTCCAAAAGGCAAGCTTACACATGCTGTTGCATGCGCGCATATGGGGCAATGCGAGCGGGCGGCAGGTTCGAAGCAGCGCGGGGTGCTCATGGCCCTGCGGGACAGGCTCCCTCATCGACAACCATTGTCCATCGCCGTCGTGTCGCCCCCGCAGCCCCGCCTCACCTGCAGTCCCCCAGCCCCCTCCGCGCCCCGCCTCCCTTCCACGCGCCTCCCCCAGGTGTTTGTGGACCGCGCCACGGGCGAGGTGGTGCTGCGCTTCCACAAGACCGACGTCGTGCGCATCCGCCCCAACGGGGACGTCCTGCTCACCGCCGGCGGCTACTTCACCCAGACCACTCTGCTCTCAATGAACGACGCCCTCGGGGCCATGGGCATGGCGCTGGACGCCGGCGGCGGCGGGGGCGTGCACACGGGCAACTGGACGCTGCGCTTTGACGACGGCAGCGCTTGCGCCTACAAGGACGGGATGGTCGTGAGGAGCCGCGGGCCGGGGGACGCGGGGCGCGCACGCGCGGTGCTTGAGGCATACAGCGGCGCCCCCGTGCCCGCAGGCGTGCTGCCGGTCGCAGCGCCGCAGCCGGTCCCGCGGCCCGCCGCTGTACCGCAGCAGGCACGGCAGGCGCCGCAGCCGAGGGTCTCCGGTGGGGCGGGCGCTGGCGCGCCGTCGTGGGCTGGCGCGTCGATGCCACCTGGATCCGCTCAGGGAGGGCCAACGGGGGCGTCTCTGCTCACACAGCAGCCGCAGCACCACCAGCAGCAGCACCAACCTCACGCCGTGGCAGCACAGCAGCGGTATGGGGCTGCCGGCCCCGCCGACAGCCGCGGCCACCACGGCCATGCGCCGCGCGCCGGCGACCCGGCGGCCGTGGCGCGGCAGCTTGCGGCAGCCGCAGAGCGCGCGGGCATGCACGACGATGACCTGGACGATGACGAGGCGTGCGTGGTGTGCCTGGCGGCCGCGCGCGACACGGTTCTTGTTCCCTGCGGCCACGTGGTATTGTGCAGCGACTGCTGCGAGGACGTCAAGGCGGGCAGCAACGAGTGTCCCATGTGCCGCAACAGTATAGCAGAGTCGATACAGATGGGGTGATGCGACAGGTGTGTCGCGCGCAGCATGTAGAATTGTGGCCCCCCTCCTCCTCCATGTGTGCTTGTCCCTACCGCTCGCTTTATTCCCACCTCGCGCGACAGTGTGTTCAGAGGGTTGTCCATAGCAGCTTTCATACCAGTCATTACGCACGGCTCCATGCAAACACATGCATGTAACACTACGCTTGCCAAGGCAAAAATGCAAGCGAGGCGGGCCGCCGACGGGGCGAAGCAGGCACAGCACGTACTGGGCAGCCTGAGGGGTTGCGGTGTCGCGGCCTCAAGTGCACAGGAGTCCTTAATTACGCTCCAAAGAGCATTGTCATCGATCTTACTTCCTGAATCAAATCTGGGACCTGGCCTTCAATAACCTCTGCTGGTAGATCAATCCGGTGAAAGCCAATGAGCACGACCGGTAAGCCCAGAGGGATTGGATCAATTGAAATGCATTACTCATCAATTCAGGCTTGCCTTCGAGGCCATTCGTAGATCGTGCTCAGCAAGCGCGCACATCGCAAATTTTCAGGTGCACGAGGTCCACACCCACCAGCCCGGGGCACTCAGCTCAACGTAGCTGCGGCTGAGTACAAGCCGAGTGGCGCGCCGCACAACGCGCCGAGCAGCAGCAGCGATTTTGCGGGAGGCAGCAGCAACACCAGCAGCACTGTTGGCACCAGCTCCACCAGCCCGAGTACCGCTACCAGTGCCGCAAGTGGAAGCAGCGGCACTGGTGCAAGTGACGGCGCCATGGCTGCCCCCACCCCCTACTTTGAGCCCAAGCCCCCGGGGTTCCTGGCCAACAGGCCCATTATCGGCGGGCTGCCAGGCTACACGTCGTTCAGAAACAAGCTTTGGTGGGTGGGCTGTGTGCGAGGGAAGCGTTGCCACATGCAGCAGGCGTGCCGACATGTTGCGCCGACTGGGTTGGCCGACTGATGCGCTGGTGCCGGCTGTAGTGGCACTTGACTGAACTGGCAGGTCCGAGGTGCCAAATCGTCGGCCGACATCAGCGGCTGCAAACATCAGCGGCGCCGCCCAACATGGCCGCACTCCCAGCGACCGGGCCCACTCAGCTCGCATCTACCTACCCACGCACCGCATTTACCCGTGTGCACTTTGCAGGGTGGACACCAACCCCAAAAATGGGGAGGTGACCCTGCGTTGCGTCAACACTGACATCGTGCGCATTCGCCCGGTGAGCAACAGGCCGCTGGCGGACACAAACGCACGCGGGCCACTTGGCACACAGCGAGGTGGATAATACAGCACGCCACGCAGCGCGTCCGCCTGCGCGCCTGCTTTTTGCATGGGCCGGGCGGCGCTGCGACGCAGCTGCTGGTGCTGGGCGGGGCGGTCTTCTCTCGTGCTTCTGCCCTGTTGCCATGCCCACACCCCGCGCCCTGCATGGACCCCCAGATTGGCGAGATCATCCTCACCACTGGTGGCTACTACACGGTGCGGTCCAAGGAAGTGGGTCATGGCGGTTTTGCATCAGGGCTGAAATGCAGCAGCCCTGGCCTCGACTGCCCAGTGACTGACTCCATGGGCACCCACACAGCTGTGCGCCCCGCCCCCCCCCCCCCTCCTTCCTAGTACCCATCAAGCCCGCTCCTGCAACGCCGCCCCACCCACCGAC